ACATTTTACAAGCTCAAGGAGATAACCGATTCTCGAATATGTTTTTACATGGAATACGAGTCAAACAAGTTATTAAGATGAACAAATAAAAATATTACTCAACTAATTGAATCCCAACGCAACACTTGTCGTTGTGGAGATGCCATTGCCATATATCAAGTTATGACAGAAGCATCTCTCCCTCTCTCTCTTTCTCTCTCTCTCTCTCCAATTATTTAATCTTTCCCTCAAAATATCAACTTGCTGATAGCTCTTAAAATGCACCCTCTCTCTCCACCCCTTAAAGGCAAAAGCTTGCATCTTTCTGTAGGCAAATGAAAACCCAAATGCTGCATTTTTCTTAAACCGCTCTGAGTTTTTCGTGTTCTATATGGATTTTGGGGTGGTGGGTTTTGGTGGGTTGGGGGGTGGTTGTTCTTCAGATTCTGGTTTTCCTCTTGCTGCTACTTCATCGGCAGATCAGGAGGCGGCCAAGCACAAGTGGTTGTACGGATCTGGGTACCACAGGCAGTGGAGATCTGCCGACGAGGAGGACTGGAGGAGCTCTAAACTTGCCAAGACTGATGATTTTTCATCTTCCAAAGCAAGGCAACAGCAGCAGTTACTGAGCTTCTCTAACTCTCCCAATCCAGAAGCTGTCTTGGTTGAAAAGAATGCCGCAATGCCTTACTTTCACCAAGCTGTATCTGCTTACAATAGAACTTCTGCAGGTAGTTAATTAGTAATCATGTTTAATTAAGATTGTGTTTTGTAAGTATCAGAGCGGCCTTTCTAGCCCCTTAAGCACTGCGTCGCTTCGATTTTTTTTAAAATATGAGCAACTGCATGGAGCTTTTGGGGTTTGGTAAATGTTTTACTGAAAAAAACATTGTTTGCGTTGGTTCCCCGGGAGGAGGACTTTGGTGGGAGGTCTTTTCATGGAATTTTTTTGAGTCTTGTCAAGCACTAGAAAAAGCCAAGTTGTTTTCTTCTTTACTAAAAAATCTTTGTCTACCCAGTTTTGGTGAAAACAAGAAGGCAAACAATTGGAGGAGAAATAAAATAGATAAGCGACTGGTTCCAATTTCCTTTTTATTCTATCTTCTTCCGGTAAAATTTATAATAATAATAAAAAAAGAACTTCATGATTTTATTTTAAATTTATTTTCTATTTCTGCAAAATTGGTTCTTGGGTTTTTTTTTTAATTTGTTTTTTTTGGGTTTCTGATTTCTGGCTGTGTTTCAGGGCATAATAGTGGGAGTTTGAGTAATGGAGGTGCTGCCATGCATTGGAGTATAGCAGGAGGCAAAGGACCTTTCACTCCATCTCAATGGATGGAGCTCGAACACCAGGCCTTGATCTACAAATACATCACTGCCAATATGCCTATTCCATCCACTCTACTCGTCCCTATCAAGAAGGCCCTTGATTCTGCAGGATTTTCGACGTTTCCGAACGGACTTCTCAGGCCCAATTCATGTAATTTCTTCATTTTACTCGAATGAAAATGATTTCCGCACACTTCATTTTTTTTCTCTTATGCACGTTTCTGCTTATTTATGTGGCTTGTATTTCGCTTGATTTATTTAATCCAAAGGATAGAAATAAACTGGAGCAGAAAAAGGATGTTTGGAACACATGTTAGGACGCATGTCAGACTTTTAGATTTTTCATGCCTTTCTTGCATTCTAAGTTTTTTGGATTTTCGTGGGGTTGTGTATGTGCAGTGGGATGGGGTTCTATCCATTTGGGATTCTCCAACAACACTGATCCCGAGCCGGGAAGGTGTCGCAGGACCGACGGGAAGAAATGGCGGTGCTGGAGAGATGCCGTTCCTGACCAAAAGTATTGTGAGCGGCACATGAACAGGGGTCGCCACCGTTCAAGAAAGCCTGTGGAAGGCCAGACCGGCCAGACCGGAACCACCGCCTCAAAGCAGCCTTTGGCTTCTTCGTCATCAACATCCGTAGTTTCCGTTTCTGCTGGTGGTGGTGGCAGCAGCCATGCTATCACCAACCAGCAGCTCAAGAGCTCACAGCAGCCTGCTGCATCTAATTCTTCCGCAGCAGCCACTCAGATGAACAGGTGAAATAAAAAAGTTCAGACTCACCCGGTGGTCCTAAAATTTCTCATCTTTTCAGCATTTATTCCTCAACTTCATTACTTATAGAAAAATGATTTCCGCACTCTCTTTTTCCCTCCCACCTGCGCTCCTCACCTTTTAAAATAGCTCATCGATTGTATAAATAAAAAAAGAACCATGGAAAAACAAGAAGAGAAGTGAACAAGGAAAAACGAGAGTGCAGAAATCATTTCCGTTACTTGTACAATCTAATAGAAATCACAGCATCTTTTACATCCATCTTTTTATCAGCGTTGTTGGTCACTGCTCTTTTACTAGCTGAAGTTACTAGAATCTACTCAGATCCAATGTTAATCGTCTGATTCGTATCGGTGGTTCTTACGGGTTTGTTTCTGTATCTTGTTGATTTCTCTTTGCAGGATGTTCATTAACAAAGAGAATGCGGGTGGGAGAATTCAACACACACCAGGCCTCACCATGCTGTCGAAAGAAAACCCATTCTCCACTCAGAAACAGCAAATCGGATACGAAGAATCCTCGAGAACGGAGTTCGGGCTTGTCCCCACTGACTCCCTCCTAAATCCTTCACAGAAAAGGTCATACCCTGCAGAAACAAATTCACAACAGCATTCCCTTCGCCACTTCATCGACGATTGGCCTAAAACTCAATCCGACCGCCAACCTGTTTCATGGCCTAACCAACTCGGCATGCAATCAGACAGAACCCAATTATCAATTTCGATCCCCATAGCTTCATCCACAAGCAGTGAGAAGCTCACGCTCTCACCGCTCCGTCTCTCTAGGGAACTAGAGTCTCCGGCCCCAACGGGATTGGGAATAGACAGCAGCCTTACCCTCAATGAACAAAACAACATGAAGCAAGCGAATTGGATTCCAATCGCTTGGGAGACTTCACCTGGCGGTCCTCTAGGGGAAGTCCTGCACAATCCCAACAGTAACAACAATGCAGTAGAGTACAGGAACAACTCTTCAGTCCTTAATCTGATGACTGGGGGAAGTTGGGACAACAATAACAATAGCCCTTCATCTTTAGGGTCATCTCCGACTGGTGTCCTACAGAAGGCGGCTTTTGGGTCTCGGTCGAATAGCAGTGCAGGGAGCAGTCCAAGAGCAGAGAATAATAATAGAAGCCATGAAGGGTTTAGCCTTTGCAACGACCTCCTTGGGTCCAATATGTTCAACTCTTCCTCCTTGCCTGCCTTGTAGGTCAAGGAAAAAGAAAAAGAATGAGTTTTTATCTGTACTACCAAGCAAAATAGTACTCAGGAGTTTTTTTTTTCTTTCTGATTAGTCTCTTCTGATTTTCTTGTGTTCTTAAATTTCAGTGTGTGTTCCTTTGTGCTTGTTGGTTTCCTTACTACTTTTGGAAATAAGGCTCCTTTGGTCGATATACATTGGAGCGTAAATGAGTTAGAATTAAGATACGTCAAGGGTTCGATCCATTCCACCGCTCAAGAAAGCCACTGCTTCGCTCCTCGGCTTTTCCTGTTGGTTGAGTTTCTGCCAATGGCCTTGGTTCCGATCTCACTCGCATGCCAATGGAAAGAATGACTTGGTTTTATGCATTTTTTTTTTCCTTAAGTTGATCGTGAACTGTTCTTTCCGTATACTTTCTTCGGTTCTGTTGGATATCCCTCGATCGTTATCAAACTGACTACAATTTTTTTCTGTCAAAGAGGTTCCCAGATCAAATGGGAACCCCGTTAACTGTTATCAGTTAATAATTATTGAATTTTAATCTAGTTTTTAATGAAGTACAAGATGCTCTCAGAAACTAATCAAGTTCTTCATTTCTGTTTTATCTTTTCAAATGGATACTGGAACAATTTTTTAATTTTTGTTCAGATCTAATTAGGTTCGGAATCCACAATCTAAACAGAACAGAAAGCAATAAACAAAATACATAACTTGGTATCCTTCAATGTCACCATATATATATATATATATATATCACTTGAACATGTCCTTTAATCCATCTTCCTCGTCTTCCACAATCCGAAGAAACTCGGAACTCGGGCAAAATATCCTCCTAACTTTGGGGTCGCAGTGACCAGACCCGTAAACTGTTTACCCAAAAACACCGGTCTATGCACGGTTGTAGAACACCATGTATGGGGGATGATGCCTAAATAGGGCCAGAAGATCCAGGAAGTTGTTGCCTTTCGGACTTAAAAATGCACGAAAGAACATATCATTAGGCTAAATTTGAGTGCTCAGAAGCCAAGCGTAACAATTGTATTTCATTGAAAAATCCCAAACAAATCGGGATGTTTTCTTACGTGTTAGCTGCTCATCACTGCTCTCTTTCAAAAATCACAACTCTACTCATCCAATTCAATTCACCATCTTGCATTTTACCGATCCCTTCTTAGGGGATTTCATTCCTCCATACAAAAACGAGACGATAGGGCAACTGTACGGAAACTGTATTGTATTATAACATTTATATTGGGTCGCGTTCTCAGTACACTGAAAAAAAATATTAGTGTTTTTATGAGTTGAAGCTAATGTGGAGGTGTGCGTAACCCCAAATTCTGGATTTTTTTTTCGGGTCAATTAGGGCTTTAAACACCACCTAGATCCAATTTAGGAGTGTGTCCAATCACAGAAAACACTATTAGCAAAAATGCTCTGTGGATATACAATAACCAACTCCTCTAATTATATTTCCTATAAACCTTTATAAACCTTAAACCCTAAACGCTAACCGAAAAGGCTGGATCTTCAAAAAAGTTATGGTTGCGCAATTTTTGGCACCGTTGCCGGGGAGCGGCTTGAGAAGGAGCGCTAGAGTATTTCTTAAGCTGCTTCCCGAAACGGTACCAAAAATTGCAGAACACGAATGAGAAAATCACAGCCAATATACAAAAAATACAAAAAAAAAAAAAAAAAATTGAAGTTAATGGGAGAATGAATGGTTGCTCATATTCTATGGGTGTATAGGTGTCTGTCAAGCCATGGCTATGGCAAATTCAGAACGAGGAATTTTTATAATCACCGCAACCAAGCACCCCATTTTTTCAAAAACTCAATCCAAAAACAACTCCACATGCATCAAATGAATCAACAGAAAGCAATTCATAGATTTCAAACGAATCAACAGAAAACAATTCATAGATTCGAAAACATTTGCAAATTTTGAAAACGTTTAGGAAAAAATGGTTATACAAAATTTGGGTTCTGAAAACTGAGAGGAAACTGAGCCGCGGCTGCGATTGCTGATTTGCTCACCAAGTTCGTATTTTTATAGGGATATTATTGGTGAGGGAAGAAAGCACTCAAACCCTAGCGCGCGGCGCGCCACGTTAATTGAGATCAAAACGCCGGTGAAGGTGTTGTCGTACTTATTGGGTGGGTGAAAAATTGGGCCTTAATAGAAGGGAACGGTTGGGCCAAACCCAAATGAAGATACGGAGCCCCTTCTGAAGGTCAAACGCGAGAGCCAGAATTGGCATGGGGACTTGTTTGTAAGAAATTTTAGTATAATTAAAAGCGCTTTTAGATTACCAAATGCGTTTCTGATCGTATTTGATAAAAAAAGAAGTTAATACTTTATGTTGAAATAAGTATTTAAAGTGCTTTTTGACAGTTTAATAACTATGGGCTCATTTGGATGTGCTTTTAAAATAGTTAAAAGTGCTTTTAGAGAAAATGTTTTTGGGTTTCAAAAGCACTTTAAGTGATTTCTGCAAGTAGTACCAGTGATGTGCTTCTTCAAGGAAGCACCTTAAGTGTTTTTCTAGGATTTACCATTTTTACTAAGGATTGATTCCAAAAAATATTTTCACCAAAATTGCTTTCAGTTATTTTAAAAGCACATTCAAACAAGCCCTATGTTATGTGCTTGTTTCAAGAAGTATTCCCCTCAGCTATATAAGCCAAAAAAAAAAAAAAAAAAAAACTCCTCACAACTCTTTTACGCTATTGAACAATGACGTGAACTGGAAAGGGGCTCGCCATCTTTTCCCGATATTCATTTGGCGCATGGCTACAATTTTAATTAGTTAAACCTATCAAACAAAAGCAAAATTAAACTACCAATTTAAAGGCCACAATTAGCACATAATCCTAAACCATTAACCTCGATCATTGCATTAGTTTCCACCATTACACTATCGATCAAACACCATGCACCGGAGGAGAGGAAGTGACAATGAGGTCGTATTGTCACGGCACTCCCGGGCTAATGTACCCTTTATATGGGAGATGAAGCCCGGGATGCCCAAGGCTGCAACGACTGTACATCATGGCGATCATCGCGATCGTAGAGTACTATTAGATCATTTGAGCATGGAGCAGTTAAAGCTGACACCTCGTCCTCGTTTATCGTCCCTAAGTGGTGGCAGTGCTGGGTTCGTGGTGGTTGATCGGCAGAGCCGTCTTCCTTTATGCTCAATCCAGCCTTCGTTTAGGTTAAACTCGTTCCGATTAATCGTTGTCGGTGTTAAGAAGGAGGAAGATCCGTTTCTGGCAGCTTTGGTGAAATGCACGGGTAAGAAGTACGCTGGGAAGAAAACTAAGACCAGGTTTAGTTTTTCATGCAGGTAGTTAAAAAGCCTCAATTTTTTATAAATACATAGATGGAGAAAGGTTTTCGTTTACTATGTTTAGATGGCAATACCTAATTATGATGGTTTTAATAACCCCTCTATTTGGTGTGTATTGTTTGTCGTTTTCTTCTTTTCGCGTTATCTAAAGCGTTTGACTGTTAAAGGGGCATATGACTCGATTGGTTAAATATTTACTCTATAGTCGACATTACAAGATTTAAGTTGTTTTTCCTTCCTATATAGATGTGGTCTATCTGTGTAGTTTTTCAAGTAGTTTGGTAAGTGTTTTTGTTTCTTTTCCACATTCCATAAAAGTCCCCTGGCATTGATTTTTATCATTGTGGGAATAATATTTGTTAGTCGCTCATTTTTTTAATTCAATAAGATTGTTTTTTCGTGTAATTTCTCTCGTGTACAAACTTTCAAGTCTCGTTTGAATTTTGAATTACAATCTCATCAGTTCAAAGACAGCAATGATGAGATATTTTTCGGTATGTTTGGAATATGGTCCATTAACCATATGTATTTATACAAGTGATGGAATTTTTTTCTTTCTTTAAATGTCCATCTAATTGTACAAGTACAAATGGTATACCATCCGTGTTATGACCATACTGAAAAATTTATCGGCAATGATGGAAAGGCCAATTGTTTGAGTCAAACCCCTTAAACCACCGTTTCGAATGAAATATAATAAAATTGAATCCTGACTCTTGTTACAATACGCATGCATCAGTATTTTTTATAGTTTGATTCTTTGAGTGTTTCTTGCTCACTTAATCGGTTAGTAAAAGTAAAAGATTAATTAAATGTTTAATAGATTAGCATACAAATACGACTTAACCTACCTTGCCGGATCTTTTATATTTTTTTGTTGGAAAAAAACTACATGGAGGCTCGTTGGTGTGTCGCATTGTCATTTGGCATGAGAAAAGAGAATTTTTCAACTTTGGTTTTTAATTGTGACATAAGTCTCTTGTGGTTGTCTTTTTGCAAGAGCAAGAAGATTTTCTTTTGAGAGATGCAAGAGCAGGAAGATAAATACAAATTCAGTCACACATCCATGCTTGTCTTGTGGCTCCTTCAACTTCATTTCCCAGCAACGTTTCAAAATCGCAGCTAGGCCCATGATGCCTCAGTCATATTTTTCTATCTCATATTCCTTGTTTTTTGCTTTTATTTGATTTTTCACTGATAACTATAGGAGAATAATAAAAAAAAAAGTTTGGACATAAATTATTTTTGTGAATTTTAATTTGATAGGTCTGGTTTGTCCATCTTTGTTTTGGATAATACAAATCCACTATGATGAGAATTTGAAAATGAAAATATGCTATATTATATATATATATATATAGTATATGTATATAAATAAATAAAAATGATCTATTATCTAATAAATTAGATTCTAAATTATCTATATATTCGAAATATTTGTATGAGCGATGACTTTTTCTCGTTAATAAACAATGAAAAAAAACTATTGATGTGCTTTTTTAAAACTCAGTCAAGTTCTTGGTTTTTTGTTTTTTGTTTTGTTTTTGTACATCTAAAGATTCGATTGCACTAGTCGGATATGAAAGGATAATATTTTTGTAAGCTTCTCTCTTGGTAAGCTTAAGTTTTTAAGTTTTTATATTTAACAATTGTTGTTCATGATATTTGAATTTTATGAACTAATTGTTGGAAAGTTTATTACGTTCTCTATGCAATTAAGTCAGATTATTATATTATGCTAAAAGAATATAAGAAAATAAAGAAATAAAATTTTAGGCACTTTTCTCCAACTAAAACGAATTTCTGTTTCTTCTTTGGGGGTGTTCCTAAAAGGTTTTGAAGTTTTTGTTTGATGCAAGTCAAATTGGGAAGAGGTCGAAGCTACAACCTCGGGTGCGTGGATACATGACAATGCTCTTAATCAGTTATTTATAAATAGCATCAAGGAGTTGTTTACAAATAATATTGATGAATTCAAATACAAGTTATAATTGAATCTTACGGCTTAATTTCATTGTATTGCAAAATAGACTATATATACAAGATACAATCCTTGTTCTATAAGGAAAACAAAAAAGACACACACCTAACCTTCCTAATAAAGGATTCTAAAATTTACAATATAATTACATGCCCTTTTTAAATACTACTCACGGCAACACTCCCCCTCAAGTTGGAGCATAGATATCACACATGCCCAACTTGACAAGTGAGTACCAAAAGATCTACTACACACAGCATGAGTGAGGATATCCGCAAGTTGCTCTTCGGAGTTCACAAATGGTATTGAAACAATGTTCTTCTCCAACTTCTCCTTAATAAAATGACGATCAACCTCCACATGCTTTGTTCTGTCATGTTGTACCGGGTTCTCTGCAATCTCCCGTGCAGATTTATTATCACAATACAAACTTGTCGCCTCCTTTACTTTGAAACCTAGACCATCAAGTAACTTACGTAACCAAAGGACTTCACATATTCCATGTGCCATTCCTCTGAATTCGGACTCAGCTGACGATCTTGACACCACGTTTTGCTTTTTGCTCCTCCAAGTAACCAGATTTCCACCAACAAACGTAAAGTATCCAGAAGTAGATCTTCTATCAGTTACATCACCTGCCCAATCATCATCAGTAAATCCTTCAATCCTCAGATGACCGGAATTTTTATACAAAATTCCTTTTCTTGGAGCCGACTTCAAATAAGCTAAAATCCGCATAACAGCTGCCATATGATCCACACTTGGCGAGTGCATAAACTGACTCACCACACTTACTGCATAGGCTATATCCGGACGGGTATGTGCTAAGTAAATTAGTCTTCCTACCAGTCTCTGATATCTGCCTTTATCCACTGGTTCTTGATCCGGATAAATTCCCAAGTAATGTTTCTCCACAATGGGAGTATCCACGGGTTTACACCCAAGCATCCCTGTTTCCTTCAATAAATCCAGAACATATTTCCGTTGAGACAAGAAAATACCTCTGGACGAACGAGCAACTTCCACACCAAGGAAATACTTCAAGTCACCTAAACTCTTCATCTCAAACTCGGCAGAAAGGTTCTTCTCCAGTTTGACCATTTCATCTGAATCATCACCTGTTATTATCATATCATCTACATAAATAATTAAGGCTGTCACTTTACCACTTCTTCGTTTCACAAATAATGTATGATCCGAGTGACTTTGATAATACCCAATCCGCCTCATAACTTGGGTGAATCTACCAAACCACGCACGAGGTGATTGCTTAAGTCCGTAGAGTGACTTTCGCAACCTACATACTCCGGTTTTCCCTCCAGCATCGTACCCTGGAGGAAAATCCATGTATACCTCTTCTTCCAAGTGCCCATGAAGAAAAGCATTTTTCACATCAAACTGTTTTAGTGGCCAATTCAAATTTGCAGCTAAAGAAATCAGAACTCGTACTGTATTCATCTTCGCTACTGGAGAAAAAGT